ATAACAATGACCTGCAGACTATGCAAGAGGAGACTATATCAGGTATCTAAGGGCTCTTCACTGCACTCAACAAAAGCAAAGTAAAATGCAGTGGTTGGAAGTAAAAGCCAGGAACATTCAGACTGGGAATAAGCATCAAATATTAAATCATATAGGTGATTAACTATGGGGACAAGTATAGCTTAATAATGGGGTGAATCACTCCATACCTCCCTGTTCAGACTGCAGTTAGATGCTTGTATGCTATTGGACTCAATGTAAGGGAACATCAGTGACATTTCTGTCCTGCTGGATGCAGGAGGTCAGATTTAGATGGGTATATACTTCCAATCTAGGCTTCTCTAAACGTGTGAATTTTTGAAGTGCTAAACTGAGACTGGATGCTCCATAAGTCTGGGTCCTCTGCAGTCGAGACCAGAACACAGCCCTTGCTGTGCTGCTCAAACTAGAGTCGTTAACTGAGACCAGGATCCCACCGAGCCCTATTCAGTGAGACTTTTCCATGAATGCAATTATACACGGATTTATTGGTTCCTTTACTCATTTATCTCCACATTTCTTTAGTCCCTCACACCTCTAATTATATACGCACTCTTTCATCTATCCAGTTCTGCAACTGCTTCTCTTTTTACAGGTATGAACAAGACACATGCATCCTATTCCTTGCAAAGACATTATAAACTCCTCACACTTCTCATCAACAGGATGGATGGACATAGGTTTCCCTGAACTACCTGATATGTGCTTTTAAATCCTTTACTTGCCTTCCCAACTGCGCCCTTTCTGAGCCTTCCTGAGCACATTCAATTAAACATCCACACTGCTTCTCTTTAGCCTCTTCCAAATATAATGAGGCAAAGAGCTACAGCACTCTGGCTGCTGTTTTCCCTCGCTATGCCACCGCTTTACTCTTCCTAATAACCTCTAGCAGGTCTTTGACTTGCCTTTGTACACAAGGTACTTAATGATGAATGGCCCACACTTGCTATGTACACACCTTGCATGGTTTAACTGTTTTCCTTATCTTTTTCTCTCTCTCATTTCTCTTCTCCTTCTAGTTTACAGACATGATCTCAGGTGTTATCTGCATGTCTTGCCTCCAGGGGCAAAAACTAGTGTCATTTCCAGCGTGTGTTACAAAGCCCTCCTTTTAATTTGCCATTGCTGGAAATTGGTTCTAGTTAGTTACAAGGGTAATAACTTCTAAATTGATTATGAATGTTACAAAACGGGAATGGGAAAAGCAGTACGAAACAAATCTTGTCCCATGTTGGAAGCCAAAGGGGAGACAGTACCCCCGCACAGCACCAAAAGAATTAGCTGTGGAGTTCCCCAAATACAAACTCTTATATCCCATGAATTGAGCAATGCATTGATGTAAAAAGTGGACCTGTCACATTGCAAAATAGCAGAATTATAGCTAACGTCAAATCACGCTTCTTGGTAAAGAAGCGTTCAATCTTGGTATATCTTCTTGGTCAAGAAGCATTCAATCTCTTGGTAAAGAGTATTCAATCAGGTCTGTCCAGCTAACAAAGGATAACCAGCCTGAAGCACCCTTCCTAATGCTTACAGAGGACAAAACTCCTTTTCCCTGCATTTCAGCTGCAAAAAACAAACACAAAACCCCAGACCTGGCTAAGTATCCCAAAAGAAGAAGTCACGAGATCTGAAGGACTTAGCAAAGAGAGAGATGGGTTTAGTCCTTCAAATCTTCAACCACTGGCAGTAGACCAGGGATTATAAAAAAAACTGTTGTGACCAAATAATCAGCAGCAGCAGCCTCTTGGATTTAGGAATGACCCAAGCAATGCATCCAAGGCCAGCCTCAGCCTGAGGAGATGTCTAAGGGCTCCTCCTGGCATAATGTGTGCACAAATAACTCAGCCACTTTGTGTCCATATGCTGATATTAAAGAATTGTGTAAAAGAGTCCCGCACAATCATAGCTTTCAGTATAAAATATAAACCTGGTTTGTATACTTGCCTTTTATGAGCATACCTTCATGGTCAAGAGAAGGAAAGAGAGAGAGAGAGAGAGAGAAAGAAAGACGACGAGATAGGTGAAGTCTTACCCCGTTCTGCGTTTGAAGGAGAGTGTCCTCTCAGCATGCCTTGATGTCTGCCTGCCCTTCCCAGCTGCCCCCAGCTAGATCCATTTGGACAGGGATGGTCCTGAAGTTGCTGTCCTTGTGGCTGGGGCACGTGGAGTTTCAAGGGCAGGGGAGTGCAGCTGCCACTCGGACACAGGTATCTTGGTCGTGCTGATTTTGGAGAGCGCTGACTGGGAGCCCCAGAGCAAGGTGAGCTGGGACCTCAGACACCAGGGGACGGAGAAGGAAAACCATTGGGTCTTTGCATCAGTGAAGCGATGCAAACTCGCGTGTCCCGCTGCCCAGGACAATGTCCTTGCCATCAGGGTACGATCCCTCTTTTCACTCGCCCTGCTTCCCTATCCAACATGAGTCTACCCTTCTTGAATCTCCTCAGTCCTGTGCCTGTGCCTTTCTCTCTGCCATGGGGCACACCAGACAGTTCTCCTACGTAAGGGCTAGGACAGCCTCAAAACTCGCGTGGGGATGGCTTGGTGTTCCTCGTACCACTTGGGCAGAATTGCTGTTACAATAGGCTGAGGAGAGGGGGCGGGGTCAAGCTGAGGGGGAGGGGCCAGGGCAAAGTGACGGTGGGTAGCTGGGCCCCTGAGCAGGCAGGAAAGCAAGACTCCCGAGACTCATCCAAAGTTACAGCAGTTGCTAACTGAAAATGTTAACGACGTCAGAGAGGGGAGCGGGTGGGTGCTGCCCTTCTGTCCCTCAAATCAGCGCCTTTAGCCCCAAATCATAGTCCTGCCACTCCAATTGACCCTCCACCCCATTCAGGCCTCCCAACTCCTGGAACAATGTCTTGCTGCCCTGATCAGCCTAAAAGCAGCAGAGGTGCTTGTGTGGGGGTTCCCCTTCCCGGCCTGCTCCTGGGATCCCTGCAGACCATCCCCCCACATCCACCCCCATGCCCAGATCCAGCCCCCACAACTAAAGGGGAGACAGGAAGAAGGTGGTGGTAGCTGCCAGGCAAGCCAGTGGGGCATGTAACCCAGTGTAAGAGGGCAGCATGGGCCACGGGAAGCCCAGGAGCAGGCAGGATGGGATCTCTTCTGCTCTGGTGACACAGCTGTCATGCAGATTGGGGTAGCAGCGCAGTGATCCAGGGGTAGAGGGGCCAACTTGGGGGTCCGGGAGAAATCCACAGATGGAGGGGCTGATCACAGGGTGGAGAGGAGATCAAGGTGGTGATGGGGGGCAGTGGAACAATTTGTGGGATAGAGGGAGCAATCCAAACAGCTTTCCC